TTAACACAGTTGAGAAAGCCCAGAAATATTTCACAAGAAGAGTTCTCCACTCCTCTACTCATTGCAGACTACTTATGCCACCAGACTTGAAATGCTCTACTTATGCCACCAGACTTGAAATTCTATTATACATTGCAATGTCCTACCTGTCAAAACTTCAGCTTCAACCATAACAATACAAGAGCAAACAATAGATATAAACTTAAGGTTAATCGCACCAAACTTGATTGCAGGAAATACGAGTTCAGCAACAGAGTGGTCAATGTCTGGAATACTCTACCTGACTCTGTGGTTTTTTCCCCAAACCCCAAAAACTTTAACCTTAGACTGTCTACGATTGACCTCACCCCTTTCCTAAGAGGTCTGTAGGGGGCGTGCATAAGCGCACCAACGTGCCTACCATCCCTGTCCTATTGTTTCTTTTATTTATTTTTATTTTTCTTATATGTATCCCTGTATTCATAACTGTTTTACTTATACCTATTATCTTGTAAGCAATTGACAAACCAAATAAATAAATAAATAAATAAATCTAAGAATATAGGACTAATTTTTTAATAAAAATTAATATTAATTATTCTTAAAATGCATTTCGCTAAGTTATATCTTTTGTGGTATGGAGAAAAACAGTATTATTGCAAGGTGAGGCCAAGTATCTTAGTACTCCAAAACTTAGAAAAATGTAACAGTTGTGGTTACAGGACCTATTTAACCATATCTTACATAATAAATTATAAAACTAATTTTCTGAGTTTGCATGTGACATTGAACCACAAACTAACCATATGGATTGGATTTGCACAACACATTAGGAAAAATATGGTTGGTTAGTCTCTAAGCTCAATGAGGACTCACAATCTGGACTCAGTTTAAACAGATTAACAGAGTTGGAAGGGATCTTTGTAGGTCTAGTCTAACCCCCTACCTTTTCAGATCTGCTTTTGAAAAAATATATCATTTTTTGGATAGTTTTCAGATCTGCAGTTATGTTAAACATACTCAAACAGGGTTTAAATCAGGTTCATAGCAGTGCCGGGCTGACCTTGTTAGACATTAAGCATCATACTCATACAGTTAGTTCATACTCACTACAGTTATTTTAAACATACTCAAACAGGGTTGAAATCAGGTTCACAGTTCAAAAGAAAGCAGCTGACTGTGACAGACACTAAGCCAGGTAGGTTTGAGTTAATATGTGGTGGGGAAAATATCAGAGAAAAATAGGGTCATAAGTTACACTGGGCAGTTTAAAAGATATTCTGGAAGAAAGCAAAAAGGCCACTTCTATATTTTTGCAAATAAACATGTTCATGAAATCAAGGAAAGTTGACCTCAACTTTTACACCAATACGTTCTTGCTATGGAGTGAAGAACTTGTACATATTTTCTCAGATATAAATTCCAACAAACTTAATTGTCCCATTTGATCAGTCTTCAAATTCTTCTTCTTTGAGGCATTGTGCTAAGTCATTATTAACAAAATCCAATTTAACTATGATTAACAAACTCCATTCCCAAATACTGGATTCACATAAAATGATGAGTCAGGCAGTAACTGTTTTGAATCATGGGTAACACTTGGGGTTTTGAAAGTACATGGGGGGTCATATTCATAATATAATTGCAATACATTGACTTGTTTATTCACAAGATAGCTGCCACAGACAGTCCCAAATGCTCCAGAGGAATCTCTATAGATTTAAAAATATTTTTATAAATAAATAGGCTAGGGGCTGGTACTTCGTCTTACAACCAACTGATTTGTAATGTAATAGTTATTTGAAAAAAAAAGAGGGATCAGACAGAGAACTTTTAGTTGGCACCAAACAGCAATGCCTATCCTTTATCAAATTGTGGTTCATAAATCACTAATTGGAATCACATCTCAAACTACAATATGCTGAAGCAAGCATGCTATATTTAATTTAGTGCTGTTTAAACTTAACAAGATTAAGATATGTGGACTTCAAGTCCCAGAATTCATTAACCAGCATGCTAATTGGAGAACTCTGGGAGTTGAAGTCCACACATCTTTAGTTGCCAATTTTGAAAGACAACGATCTAAAGCGACGTGTTACTCAAAGGAAAACCTCACCGATTTCGATAACAATTGCCCGCGTCAGGGATTATTGCAGCCTAACAGCCGCGACCGCTAGATGCTGCGCCAAGAACATTCTTCGCTCCTTTTTACGCCGGCGCGAGAACGCGATAAAAGCAGATTGTCCCCTAGTGGGCGCCATACCAGGCTGAAGGCGAATGGCAATGGCGCTGAGCTCGGAGCCCTTCTCGGATCGCTCGGTCAAGCTAGCGGTGTTACTAGCCTTCGCTTCGGGAGTGGTGGTGGGATGGCAGGCGAACAGAGCGCGGAGGTATTACCTCACGTGGCGGAAGCGACGGCTGCAGGACCAACTTGCAGCAACTCAGAATAAGTTGGAACTCGCGTGAAGCGGTGAGAAAGCCGCCGCAGTAGCCCAAGAATGGTGACCGGGAGGGGGTCACGCTGACTGGCACCGGTCTTTTATGCCAACCCGAAGCTGGGGCAATGAAACGTTCAAGCGGTGACCCCTGCGTTTTAAAGCTGGTATCGAGAGAAATAGGCCAAATAATTTTGCGCTTAATTTTTGCTGTGTTTTACTTTGCTTGAAAAAAAAAAAAAAAGACCAAATCACGTTGTGATCCTTTGTATCAAAACAAAGGCACAAAGCCTTAATTAATGTTTCAATTTTCCTTGAAGGGTTTTTGTGTTTTAATACTAGTCGCAGATTCTGAGGACACCTTGGCCATTATTATTTTAGGCAGAGACGACCAATTTCTGTATCATTTTTGCTTATTGAATGCTTCTAGGAGACTTTTGGGAAGGTAGAATAGTTACCACAAACTACTCATTTTGCAATAATTTAATAACAGTCTGGAAATACATGTTTTTTTCAAAAGTGGTTGAAATTACTTTGGGGTTACCGTTTCAACCTTGTTTACTGAATTACAATCATACAGGTTTTTTTAGAGCAGCTGAACTTATTGCAGGCCTATTTTTAATTTACTTATTTTTTGTTAGTTTTTTATTAAAAATATGCTGATTTTTAAATTTAGGGATTTCTCAGTTTAAATACTTTACCGTATATATAGACATTTTATCAGGGTTCCTGCAACATTTATTGTTTTTATTTTAATTTTAAATATTTTACATTGTGTAAGCCGCCTTGAGTCGCCATGGGCGAATAGGCGGCAATATAAATCAAATAAATTTCAGTTGACAGTTGTACTTATTGGTTGATGGGTCTGTGTCCGATTTCTTTAATGCTGTTCTCAAATACTAAAATTATATCCTTTACTATATATTTTAACCTGTATTTTGTTTTATATTTTAAATTTTGAGAAAACTTTAAAGGTTATATGGAACTGAATTTCATTTTTTTTCACCTATCAATAGCTGAATGCAAATAGAAGCCTCAAAAAGAACTACAATCAAGTTTCCATATTTGATGTATATTAATGGACTTCTTTAAAAAATCTTCATGCATAAACTTGGTTTGGAGACATCTATGAAATTGCCATCTCATTTCATGGGACTGGTATTTACAAAAAAGTTTGACATCTGAAGAAAGAAGTCGTCTGTTGAAACGTGTCTATATGAACAGCTTAACATTCCCTACTTGGACAAATAATAACTTAAGGATGTTTATGAATTGGATCTTCTTAACAAAATTTAAATAGAAAATAAACAAGTGCAATGCAATATATTCTGTGCTAGTTTTTTTAAAAAAAGTTCTTGGCTGTGAAAATGAAGATAACCATGCTTATTTTATATCCTAATATGTAATGAGCAACTTATAAACATTAAAGGTTAGTCCTAAATTTATTGGCCTGATTCACAAAACATGCTAAACCTTAATGTGGTTTGTTTTGTTTGGGCTTACAATATTATATCAAGGTACATTTAGCTTATTTAATAAATCATATTTAAGCCTAGAGCAATGTGTAAACTAAAACCTATATTGAACGTGATTTTAAACCTGAACTATTTATTTTGGTGTGATATTTTATAAGAAACAATCTGCCTAATCAACTGTATAAAGAAACAAATGACTAGAAATGGTATTTATGAATGGGGGTTGAGATGCAGTACATGATGAATTCTTTGCTATAAATTCTTAGACTGATTTTCTAGTGCAGCTATGAGAGTCAATGTACCAATTAACTCTTACTGAAATGTTTATTACTGGTATTTTTTTAAAAAATAAGGTAAAAATCCAACCCAATTGAATGAGTACAACAAGCAAAAAGATAATCTGTTTATATATTCAGTTTAGTGAATCATTCATTCTGGGATGTTTGTGCCCAGGTTGAAACAATGATAAAGTTAATTTTATTGTTTAGTTTATCAAGTTTATATATAGTAGTTAAAACTTTCTTTTTAATTTCAATTTATTGTTGGGCACCTTGAGCTTTCAAGTAAAAAGCTGGGGTATACATTTATCGGATATGTAATTGCTGTTTATCCTGCCCAAGTGTCTCATAGAGTAGAAGACTTGGGTTTTGAATCAATGCTGGGTTAGAATTCCAGAGAATCAGGTTCGAGTTTACTCTAGAATAGATTCTAGGAGACTTGGAGAATAAAATTGGAGGAGGGAGGATTTTATAGGCTGATGTACCAGGCATATATTTAACAAAACCGACCGTAAACTCCCATTTTCATATTTCCCATATTCTTGGCGTCATTGGATGGGGCTGTAAGAATTCTTAAAACCATCGAATTATGAGAAATAATGTTATCGCCTATTTTATCGCCTATTCCTTTTGTTACTGGAGCAGAGCAAAATTGGGAGTTCCCACTCAGCTGTTCCCTTTATCCCATTCCTTCGGCTTTGTTACCTGCGGAGACGCGTAAAGCTGTTAGCACAATTCTCTCCTAAATCATACTTCGGGTCTTTGGAACGCCGATTGATGACGTTTTAGTTAAGCGCCGCAGCGTGGGTCTCCTTAGCGACAGTGGTGGCTGCTCTCTTTGCTCAAAGCAACTTCGGCGATGTCTACACAAATGACCGGACGTCGGAGCCGAAGGGGCCCACTGCAGAGCGCTTTGCGTCGGGGCCGAGAGCTCCGGGAACAGGTAAAGTATCTTTTGGCGCTTTCTTCTTCGGAGAGAGAGCCAGCTGGGGTTGCAAAGGACAAATTTCCAATGCTACTCAACTGTTGTGACCCTTGACTGAAAAAAAATCCCCCCCAAACCTCAGTAAGTGGAGTTCGTGTATGATCTTGTTTTAGTACAAACCTGACGTGGCTCCCCAAATGTGATGCCTCCGTTTTCATTGTTGAATTATATGAACCCGTACAGACTAGTCTGAAGTTTATGGCTTAAGTATTTAGAAGATGCGCGTGCATCTTAAAGGGGCGGGGGGTGGGGAGAGATGTATATGCACGCCCCAGCGAGTAAGAATCCAAAATGTTACAGTCTCGATTGAACCATTAGATTGTAATCCTACTCTTATCATAGAATAACACAGTTGCAAATAAGCATTTTAGTAAGAGTTATTTGGTAAAATAAAGTTGTTAGAGACAAGCAATTCTCCCAATGACATTCTCAACAAAACTGTCAGCAACAGTGAGAAAGCTAATCTAATAGATGAAATAAATTTTATATTGAACTTGTGTTCAATAGGGAAAATTGAATAAATGATAACAGACACATTTCATATTTCTAAACTGCCTATTTCCCTCAAAAAGGGGCTCTATACTTTATATAAGCCAGAAAACTAGAGCAAGTAGATTAATCTATAAGCCTTAGTAGAATGTTCATGAAATAAAGAAAAATGGATAAATGTTAAGATATGCAAATGCTGACAGTCTCTGGCCTGGAATGGATCTTTGCAAAAAAGAAGCTAATAGGATTATGTCTATCTTTTATTTTAAAAATATACAGTACTGAATTTGTGTTTACAAAATGAAACATAGTGAACACAGAAAGTAAAGGTTCCAATGTTCTGAAATGATTAAGAAAATGAGACTTGATGGTTTAGCAAAATAGGCTTGATGGTTTTCAAGGATCAAAAGGTATGGCTGATGGACATTAGATTTACATATTATTGCATTTTTGTTTATTATTTTATTATTTGTTAAATTTATATCTTGTGCATTTTGCAGTTCAAGGCAACTCTGAGCTATACTTTATATTTTATACTCCTTTTCTGAGTGCAGACAATGTGATGAATATATATGTATGATATATCAGAATAAACATTTCTCTATATTGTATTTCTTACACGTATATAGACATCCTAGTTAACTTTAACTTAGTGCAACAGTTAAATCTTACATAAAGTAGAACAAGTGGTCCAGACTGATTAAAGTAATAAGGTCCTGCAGAGCGCACTATAATAAAATTTACATGTACACAGAACTTAATGGGATTTAGATGTATGTATAGTATAGATTTGTAAACTTAGTGAATTTCCCTACTTTGAAGTTACTTGTTTGTAATAAAGGGGAAGTTGAGTGCAATTGGACTGGTGAATATTATTAATATTGGGCAGATAATGTGTATATGTGTGAATATTAGAGAATATGGGAAACTTGTTTTGGAGTGTTGTTTTTTATCCATATATACAATATAGATACAAGTCTTAAATATACGAGGCTGTGCGACTGCTTTTATTCAACAAATTATGTCTTAATTATAAAATATTTCAGGTGGAAACTTTGCTTCAAGAAAGCAAAACAGTGAAGGCTCTGGATTCTGAAAAAAAGAAAAGCCTTAATGAGAGGTAATGTGCATTTTAGCTACAGTAATCTTTTGATAGAAGCAAATGTAACATTTTAGCACTTAAAATATAAAGAAATTAAACACGTGATTTAAAAATAGTTGAAACTAAAACTTTATTTAGAAGAAAATTTATCAAAAATAAGACTTATTTCTATGAGTATTTTATTTCAAAGATGAGAGGTGATGCAATATTATTTGTCTAGTCTCCTCATTACAACACACAATCAAATAAAATAACAAATTGAAGAAGAATATTCATGAATATAAATATTTGGAACTGTTCTTCAGTGGAGTATCAGTGGAGTAATGTGCAGCGTTTAATGTCATGATTTTTCACATTCAAATGCATTATATTTAGCATTCAGTACATACCATTCTTTCTGAGGTGAGTTGGTCCACTTTAACTGCTATATTTTATCATGAATTTTAAAAACATTTTATATTGCTTTCACTATGAAAGTAGATTCAAGGCCAATTTACAAAATATTCAGGATTGTTCATGAATTTGTATGCTAATTACTCCAAAGAATTCACGTGGCTTATATTTCAGAATGATAACCGTAAAGTAAATGCCCCAGAGGTGGTATTCAGCAGGTTCTGACCAGTTCTGGAGAACCAGTAGTGGAAATTTTGAGTAGTTCAGAGAACCAGCAAATACCACCTCTGACTGGCCCCACCCCCATCTCTTTTCTGCCTCCCGAGTCCCAGTTGATTGGCTGGGTCTTCTTTTGTTGCCCTGCACAGGAAAACTGAGCTGGAAAGCAGGTTAATGGGGTGGGGAGGGAGTAGGGATTTTATAGTATCCTTCCCCTGGAGTGGGGAGGGAATGGAGATTTTGCAGTATCCTTCCCCTGTCATACCCATTAAGCCACACCCACCAAGCCAAGCCACACTCACCAAGCCACGGCCACAAAATCGGTAGTAAATTTTTTTGAATCCCAACACTGAAATGCCCCCTCCCCCCATACACACATTAGTATTTATCTACAGTACATGTTTCCAGTGGGATATTTTTTATTTAAGAATGATTTTTTTCTATATAAGATCAAAACCAAAAAACTATAGTATTCTTTGCAAAAATGATAGTAGCCAGAATGTACCTAGTGGTTTTGCTTCGCCTTTGATTTCTCTACTTTGGTTAAGTAGATTTTTGTTGTTCTGCAGGAGATCTTGCAGGAGAATGAGCAACTGAAGCATTTAATTATTCTTCAACTAGGTAAATGTAACAGGCTTTAATAGCATTCAGCATCAATATTATTCCTTCTCTAGGGGTATGTACATACAAAATTTTTCTGATTATGGCAGTATGCTATTAACATACCTACTCACTTTGGGATCATTAACTTGTTTAAGCACAGTATTATTTGTAATATTTTAGGGTCAGCATAATTGATGGCTGGTAGACAGCATATAAAATGTGGACTTTTTTCTGTTTGTAGATGTTTGGAGCTGAAGAAATCTGTGGATGAAAATACCTTAACTCTTCAGAACTTAAAGAAAGTAAATATTTAGGGCTATATTTGATTGGTTGATTATGTACAACAAATGATTTTTTACTCCCTCTAACCACACATATACTTTCTTCATGGCAATCTACCTCTAACCTGTTCTTCAAGTAACTGAATCTATCCATCTTGGTGCTGGTCATCTTCTCTTTCATTTCATCTTTTTCAGCATTAGAGACTTTTGTAGTGAGCTAGGTCTTCAAATAATGTGTACAAAGTTGGTTAATTTGAGCCTGGTTGTTTGTGCCTCAAGTGAGAACTGAGTTGATTTGTTCAATTATCTATTTGTTTGATTTTTTTGGCTGTCCACAGAATTTTAGGTGTCTTCTTCAACACCAAAATTGAAAACATTCTACCCTTCTTCAAAGTCCAGCTTTTGCTTCTATAAAGTATTACAGGGAATACCATGGCTTTTATGATTTTGATCTTTGTAGACATCACAGCATTGAATATCTTTTTGAAAAGAGGCAGAATACTTGTCCAAAAATAAGAGAGTGAAGATATCGAGATATTGTTTGCTAAAGTAGTACCGAAATTAGAAGTTATTTTTTTCCACGTTGACGCTAGGTATATAGCTTTCTGAAATTCTGTCATTCTAAATTAAATCTATTTTTTAAATAGAAATAATACTAATAATCTACACAAAAACAAATGTATTCTTTTTTTAGCATAAAGAACCATGTGAATGTTTCCATGTAACAGATAATCAGAGTTGGAAGGGACCTTGTAGGTCATCTAGTCCAACCCCCCGCCCAAGCCTACACCATTTCTGACAAATGGCAGTCCAATCTCTTCTTGAAAGTCTCAAGCGATGGTGCTCCCACAACTTCCGAGGGCAAGGTGTTCCATTGGTTGATTGTTCTCACTGTCAGAAAGTTTCTCCTTATTTCCAGGTTAAATCTCTCCTTGTTCAGTTTCCATCCATTATTCCTTGTCTGGCCTACAGGGGCTTTAGAAAATAACTTGACCCCTTCCTCCCTGTGGCAGCCCCTCAAATATTGGAATACCTCTTATCATGTCTCCCTTGGTCCTTTTCTTTACTAGACTAGCCAAGCCCAGTTCCTGCAACCATTCATTGTATGTTTTAGCCTCCAGTCCCCTTACTAGCACATCTTTTCTAAATGTGACTTGGAAGCCAGTATCACGCAGAGGTTAACACTGGAAAAATTCAAGTTTAATTCCTCTCTTGACTATGGCTCTCATGGATGTTTTTGATCCTTCTATCTCATTGGTTTGGTGCTCTAAAACTAAAATAAAGGGGAAATTTCATGTATATATTATTTGAGCTTCCAGAGAAATGACAAGCTATAAATATAAACTAAGATGATAAAACTTGGTAAATATTAATACCGGTATACATATGGATTTTCTCAAAATTCTGATGTTTGTGTTTTTATCTTACAGTCAGATGAGCCTGCACCAGTAGGAAATTATAATCAGAGAAAAGAAGAAGAAGAAAAACAATTGTTTGAGCTTTCTCAGCAACTGGAAAAACTTGCTGCAGTCCTTAACCAGGACAATGTAGTCAAAGACTCTAGAATGTAGGTAAATTTAAGAGATTTAAGTTTTTGTTATAACCAACTATTACAAGTTTGCTTAAATTTAAGTATAGACATGTTTCAGAACCAGTATAAATGGTTCTTACCAAGATTGAAAGCAAATACAGCATGCATTTCAAATATAGATATCTTTTTTCCTATAACATAAAATTAAGATATATGATGGTATAGAAATTTAAATACATTCAAAATGCATTGTGCATATCTTTTTGATATCTGCTTCCATTTTGTGGAAGCTGCCTAACCTCATTTAGTGCCAGATGTTATAGTTTTCAGGAATAGGAAAAGATATGCTGGCTTTTGGAATGCTGGCTTCATTTAGTTTATTTTCTAAATGTTGTTTTATTTTTGATGTATACACTTTAAAAATATTACATTAATTTTTTTTGTTTTAAATATATTTTTAAACTATATTTTTAATGATCTTCATAATGCATTCAGAATTTTAAAGAAGAATAAGATAAAATTATGTTCAATAAATCAGTTTTATTTTGGACATTCAAAATACAACCTGTTTTTTTTTTTTCCTAAAAATTCAGAAGCATTTATTATTTCCTGTATATGTGTACTGCTAGTTTAAGCTACATGGTTTAGTCAAACCAAGGACTGATTAAAATAAGTGATTTTCAAAATACCAGTTAGTCCTGTTTTTGTTTTTTGTTGTTAGGAATTTGAAAAAGAAAGGCAGCCCAGAGGAACAGCAGAAAAATGAAGAGACAGAAAATGAGGAAGAAGGACAAAGTACCCAGAATGATGATGATGATGAAGAAGAGCAAGATAGCGAGGACGATGAGGATGATGAAGATGATGATGAAAGTAAACTAGATGATTCACTTAATACAGAATTCATCGCACTTGGAGATTTTGCTGCACAGCAGGAAGGGGATTTGACATTTAAAGCAAGTAAAATATATCATTTCTTGAGTCCACTAGTTCCACTTGTTTGCCTTTACTCCCTGTCTTCTTTATTGTGATCTGTGCCCCATACCATTTAATGTGGCATGAGACTTGAGACTAACCCATCATTATCATCATTACCTATATAACTTTGACCTGAGTTGTAGGAATTGTCTAAAGTATGTTTTAGATTGCAGCAGAGGGGCCAAGTGGAACAAAAGATTTGTATAGGTGCAGTGATATAAATCTACCAATGTTCACTTGAAATGTTCATTTTTAAAAAAATAATTTGTATCAATCTGAATGGAACATAAATTTTTAGATTTCAAATTAACTTTTTGATTTTCTGTTCCTTTACAATATCTGAAAAACCAGTCTCTGGTTTTTGTCTCTGTCTGGCATCTTCAGTAACATTTTGCATTGGTTGCTAAAATAAGAAGAATAATCACATTTGATGCTAAACCTACATTAAAACATACACCATATATTGTATTGGAATACTTAGACATTTTCAGTGTTAATATACTTACCCACTTTTACTTTCTCTGTGTTCATTATTGAAGAAAGAAGAAGTTCTTCTTATCATTGAGAAAAAGCCTGATGGTTGGTGGTTGGCTAAAAATTTAAAAGGGGAGAAAGGCCTTGTGCCTAAAACCTATCTTATGGTTGGTATGCATTTTTCCTTTCTACTCAGTTTTAACTGTTTTAATTATTGTTGATACCTGTGCTCTTTTGTAAGATGGCAGACTGATAGCATTGCACTTATAAAAGTAAAATATTTTTTCATAGCCTGTGGTAAAGCCTATATTTTTTATAGAAATAAAACTTGCCTATATTTGAGTCTTAACTGTTGATTGTACATGCCTATAAGAAAGAAAGACAGTGCTGGTATCTCTGGAACCAGTCCTTTTACAAACATTTTCTGGAAATTGTATGAATTGTTCACCTATAGTAATTATTTATAGAAATATTTATAGCCTGAGCACTATTCTAAGAACCTTAGGCTAGATTAAATAAATAAACACCATCTTATCAGTTCTAAATCAACAATTATCACCACACAATAATAGATACAGATTTTTACAAGTGATACTAGGGCACTGCCATCTGAATGTTAATTTTTGAGTGGACAAGTGATTCATTTACTTCTTTAGATAAAAAAGGAAATAGTGATGATGAAGATGAAAAATTACTTTAGTTAGGTTATTAGGCAGCAACCAGTTATCTATTACTGTTTTATCAGAGACTCTCTAAACAGTTTTGAAAGTAGTGTGATGGGCTTTAGACATGTGGGAAACTTGTGAAAAGTACTTCTTCCCACTTTGTCCATTAGAAACTTCTGCTTATGATGGAGTATTATTATTTTCAATGCAGAATATAAGGCTTGTGATAGGCTATTATTCTGCCTCATATTGTCAAAACATCCCTTCCATTACAAAAACAAAGATGCAGCTCGGCTGATCAGTGTACTTCTTGTGCCAGGCAAAAGACAAGGAAGAAGAAGAGCCAAGTGAAGAGGAAACAGAGGAGGACATTGAAGTGGCAGATGAAACAGCAGGTGGAGCCGATATTCTGAAAAGGTAGGCTGCAGACTTTAATGCAGACATATATCATCAATTGGTATATTTTGAGAACTTAATCAGTTTGTAAGCAACTTTATATGCAATGTGTAAGAAATTTAAAAAAACTATCCAAAAAACATAGCTTCAATCTTATTCCTAAAGTTGCCTATAATATGGGACCTACCATTAAATTAGTTCTTGGTTTTAAATGTATTCATGGTGGGACTTACAAAAAGAGTCTTAGTGAAGATCTAAATGTGTGGAATAAACCTGTATATGATTAGGTCCTCCTTCAAGGGTTCTGGGTCCAAGCTGTTTAAGGTTTTGATACCATATTGAGCCTTTTGGATTGGGCTCATAAAACAGACTGTTTTGAATACTAATTTGCTTGTCTATATATTTCTCATAAGCATATGATTGTACTTTTTTCTTATGTTTGTACTGTCTGCAGAACAGACTCTCACTGGAGTGCTGTCAAAAAGGCCCTCACAGAGGTAAGTTTGCATTTTGCAGAGTTACATTTATATGCCAGTAATGATTTGATGCATCACCATTGTTTTGTCAAAAGATTTTGATTGAAGAGGAAACATCTGACTTTATTTCTACTGTTGAATGCACAGTGAGCAAGCTGAAAATACTTACACTGGAATAAATAGTCATAGCACAATTTTGTCTTTATTCAGAGTCAATTGCCACCTTAATTTCTAGCATGACTTTGGAACAGTATAGCTGAAACTTTTAGCAGCAGACATTTCTTTAAATGTTAAAAAAATGAAAATGGGACAACTTCCTTAATTATCTGGGAAAGTGAATGAGAAGAGGGTAACAAAGCAGTCTGGGCAAGAGAAATAAGGTGGTGGGAGACCAATAGCAGATTAAACAGAAGGATAGCACTAGAGAGAGAAAATGGGGCAGCAGGTGGAGAACGCACAGGTAGAATGAAAGGAACTCTCCTTAGCAGACACCTTACTGAGTGTCTTTTGCCATATCCACTGTTGGGAACAGAAGTAAATTGAAAATCAGCAAATCATGGATAGATCTTGACATCTTCCCTGGAACTGAAACAGAGTGGACTGACATCGAGGGCATCGAGATAATTAGTGCCACAATATAAAGTGGATTGTCTACTCCACATTCCTGCAAGCAACTGTAGTTCGCTCATGAAGCTATCTTTCCCCTTCTACTGGCTCAGACAGGGCTTTCCTTAATAAAATATCTCTGTCTAAATGAACAGAATAATGCCTTAGATGCCCTGACAACTATGGGAGCAGTGCCTGCTGGATTTCGACCTTCAACGCTTGCACAGCTCTTGGATGAAGGTAGATTTTTTTACAAAATTATTCCACTAAATCTAAATCAGATGTAATGCTTCTAAGGACAACTGAAGCTTGATAGGACAACATTAAGCATTGTATAATATGATATTGCAAAATGACATCATAGATTGTTGATTTTAATGCTATTTGAATTATTTTATTATTTTTATATTGAATTTTAAATGCTACCGTCCTATTAAAATATTTTTTTTAAAACTGTATGTTTTACAATATAAACTATGAATGAAATAAAAACATTTGAAAATATATGGCATTTACCTAAATATATTCAGTAATTGAGTCAGTTCCCGTTCATAATTTGGTTCCAGACCATAGCTTCATTAATAAAGGTATTATCTGTGATTCAAGCCATATTTATTTAGCTCATAAATTTAAAAAAAAAGCATAGCTTCATATTTGGAAATTCTAACTATCAAAAACTATGTATACAATAAGCATAAAGAATGAAGGGGAAACTTAAATGTGTATATATATATATTTTTAGGAAATCAATTTCAGACAGCTTCATTCCTTCAACCTGTGCTTACACCTTCCAATCTTTCTTTCCAAGATCTGGTATGGAGCTCTGAAAAAGGCAGTGTAAGTACTTGTTCTTAAAAAAGGCATTTAAAAAGCTAGTGTCTTCAGGATAACAGATGATGAAGAAATTGGGTGTAATGGTGCAAAAGTCTGGGAAGAATTTCATGAAGTATATAATAAAATTTAAGGCTGTACTAAAGGACTCAAGATGCTTTTAAATGAATGTACAGGGAGTGAGAACAAAGGGTATTCTAGTACAAGCAATAATGCATTGTTGATATTATGGAAACCTGGTGGAATGGAATTCATAATTTGAATGTAGTATTGAAAGGATATAATTTGTTTGAAAAAATCAGACCCAAGAAAAAAGGGGGATGGCATCAATAAAAATAACTATATATGTAGGGAAATTTGTGACATCAAGAATGAAAAACCCTGCCATAAATGTCTGGGTGAATATTAAGGAAAAAGAAACATTGATACTGTTGTAAGTGTGTAGTTCAGATCACCCAATTAGCCAAAGATATAGATGAAATCATCACAGATCAGGTGGCCATAATACTTCTATGAAACATACAACTGTGGCAATGTGTTTCAACTACCCAACATCAATTGGAAAACAAATTCTGTGGCAAATAGGAGATCCAACAGATTCTTTCGGATGACTTTATCACACAAAGGGTGGAAAAAGAAACTAAGGAATTAGTTATATTGGATTTAATACTTATTAATGTGGATGAAAAGTTTGAGGAAGTGGAAATTATAGGAACTTGGGAGAAAGTGACCATGTTATCCTACAATTAATTATACTGCAGACAGGGAGAACTGAAGGTAGTCAGATTAGCATTCTAGACTTACTGGGAAAGCTAATTCCCAGTAAGGGGATAAATATGAAGGGTTGCATGAAAATCCTGAAGGGGAAACCAGTTCAAGAAGTGTTGAAATGAGATAATGAAGGCCCAATACAAACAATACCAGATAGGAAAAAACATGGGAGATAGCTGATGAACCAATCTGCTTGCATAAAGAGCTCTCTGATAAACACAGAGAATGAGTTCAAAAATAAATAAAAAGGGGTATGTAACAAAAACAATATCAAGAAATAATTTGAATCTAAGTGGGGTCAGGAATGCTTGAATGCAAAAAGAATACGAATGGAAAAAATAACAAAATGGACTCTTTGAATTGTAAGCTGCCCAGAGTCATTTACTGAGATGGGCAGTTACAGAAATTCAATGAATGAATGAATGAATGAATGAAAGAATGGAAGGAAGGAAGGAAGGAAGGAAGGAAGGAAGGAAGGAAGGAAGGAAGGAAGGAAGGAAGGAAGGAAGGAAGGAAGGAAGGAAACAAGGAGAAAGTAAAGGAAATGGTCAGTCTGCTGTTTGGAAAGGATGGTAAGATGATGATGGACAACAGAGAGAAGGCTGACCTGCTTAATTACAATTTTGCATGTGTCTTTTTTAGAAGTTGCAACCAGATGGGCGAAAAGATTCCTTAAACAAGTAATTTCTTCCTGAGCTGCAGTTCCCTAAGTGCTAACTGCAAGTTAACAGGCTCAGCTCTGTGATATTAATTAGTTAATTGGAGCTCTCCATTTGGCTGTCACTGCTGCCTATAACCGACCAGACTTTAATCAGTTTAATATTGAATGTTTCTGTTGTCAAGTGTATGAAATTTGGTCATAAGTGTGCATACTAGTCAGAAAATGAAATTTTATTACCGTTAATTACTATTGTATTTATGATTATGCGCTAATAGAAGTAATTGGTAAACAAGGAGTGGTTGTATAAGAATACTATATAAAATTATATGTACAACTTTTAAACACAATAATACAATTAGTCAACACTTCTATTTTTCCAATTATTTTAAATGTTTGGTTCTATTTTATCTGTTTCAGATTCAGCCAAGGCCAACTCGGATATCATTAGTTATGACTTTATGGAACTGCAAAGGCATTCCTTTTCCTGGCATTAGTATACAGGTCCTCAGTAGACATATCCGACTCTGCCTTTTTGATGGCAACCGAGTACGTTCAACATATTTACCAGTTTTTTCCCATACATGCTACTGTCAAGAGTGTTACATTGAGTAGATTTAAGTCTTTCCTTCTATTAGAGTTTTGAGTGACTGATTTGGCACTCTTTATATAGTTAAATATCCATCAAGTGACTACAAAAATAATTGAAAGGATCTTTCACCGTATTATGTTAAATAGGATCCATACTTCTAATTCACTGAACTGATCAAGAAAGCTGATATTCTAAACCAATACTGAAAATAACTGGAGTCTCTTATTTATTACCACTTCATTATTTTTATTTTTATTATATATTTTTAAAAAGGAAGATTAAAACAGTAATGATATACTACCGATTTGGACCGGTTCAGCTGAACCGGTAGCTCTGAAGATCATGTGTGAGCGAACTGGTTCGCTCCGACGATCAGCTGCTGGGCCCTCCTACCTGCCCCGGCTCTATACTGCCCTTTATTTCCTGCTTTTCAACCTCAGCTGTTTCGTGCGGCACAGCGGATTGCCACGTGTCAGCTGTTTTACACACAGAGCTTGCAGCAGAAGGAGAGTTGCAAATGCTGCGCATATGTAAAGCGTGCATGTGCACTCAAAGCACACGCTCACACCGAACTGGTAGGAAAACTTTTTGAAACCCACCACTGGATTAAAAAAAAAAGTAAGAAAAAGAAATAAAAGAGCAAGCTAAAAGTGTAAAAAAGTAAAAAAATAAAAAATAAAAAGGATATCCTAAGTAATTTCCAAACTTCTTTACATCAGATATAAATACAATTACATAAATTTACTGCTTACTCTATGATAATAACATAGCTCTCTTTGTGTAATCTGTCCTCGCTAATCATTAAAACTGTAAATCATAAATTCATTTTTTCTGTTTTATGCAAAAAGTTCGTAAGGGGTTTCTAGTCCGCAATAAACACAGTGGTTGTCTTTTCTCTGATCAAAGATGTCAATTTAGCCATCTTGGCAGGTTCCATCATCTTCATTAATATCTATTTCTCCTTTGTGGATAATGCCAAGTCTTTTCCATCCTCATGCATACAATATCTTGCTGCTCTCATCAAATAGAAAAACAAAGTTCCACACTTTTTTCCAATTACCAATCCCAAATTAAAGCCTTGCTTTCAGTTGTATATTAATCTTTAAAATCCCTTGAATTAGTGTATGAATCCAAAATTTTCTGGCTTTTTTATACGTCCACCAAACATAAACATGATGTCCTTTCTTTTTCACATTTCCAATATCAACTTGGCCTTTATAAATTGTAGACAGTTTCTCCGTTGACATATACCAAGGTACATCATTTTGTAAAAGTTCTCTTTAAAATTGCAACATAATATAAATTTTAGTCCTTTTTATCAGATACTTTCCTATTGATCCATTTAACTAAAATTTTTAGCCTACTTTATCATACATTTTTTCACTTGTTCTTCAGTTTCAAAGTTCAATGAAAGTTTATACATTTTAGCAATTACATGTTCATCATTTGAATACAATTGAAAATTTCAAATTCATTCTTACAATGTTCAAAACAATAAACTGTGGTCTACTTTAAATCTTTCTAATAACTTTAAATAAGGGATAGCTATAACCATTTTGCCATCAATTCTTCTATTGATTTTACGTTACGTTCTCCTTATCACTTCATTGTTTTTAGATGCACTGTTAATTCAGTGATTCTTCCCCTTGCTTTATCTTATTCTAGATTTTGAGCAACATTCATACTGTAAGAGCTACATGGCAACCAAAAAACCCCAAAACATGGACCTTTTCTCCAAGGGTAAGTATACTATAGATGGATATAATAAGGTGTATTTTACCTGCCTAGAAGAATAAGCAAGTGTGATAGTATTGTAGTCTATTTTATACATGTTCCTATTACTCTCTGATGATAATCCCCCATGAATCTTTATAAAAATATTGATTAGGTTTATTTCTGATTCAGAAAATGGAAAGCTAAATCATATAAAAATCACAACTTTATTTCAATATCCAAGATGACTGAGCCTAAATATTATATGGACTAATATATAGCATTTAATTATATCATAGCTTATATTATTCAAACCTTACTATCTGGAGATAATTAGATAAGACTTGAGATAACAGTGATCAGTTTTTCTAATGTTTTATTCTTGAAAAATAAACAACAATGGTCAGAGTTCATAGTACTGGAAACTGGAAGGTTTTCTTGTTTAAATATCTTCTTTTTCATTTAGCATTGGAAAGGAGGAGCAGACACAATTTCAAGGGTGGTTTGATTAAGAAAAACAACTCAGGGAGTTCTCCCTTCTCAAATGAATGTTTTTTTTTTAAGGAAATGTGGTTCTCCAATACAGCCCTGAGTAGAACAGATCATTAAACATGTATTTATTGATTTATTGTCTTAAATATTTTTTAAAACCATTGTTATGTTTGACCAAATATTATATACTTAAACAGGGTTATTTAACAATGGAACCCTAGGGTTTTGTGACAGCTTGATGGGGCCCATCTTTAGGAGACTGTTTTTGTGCATCTTTGGATTAGTTTTGGCTGAGGGCAACTATGTAGATAATGCCATGCGGTTTTATTGACAACATTTTTGGAAAATGTTGTTGCCTTCTTCCTTGGCTTGGAAAAGTGACTGGCCCAACGTTTCTTACTCAAAGTTTGTTACCTAAATCTGGGGTAGAACTCTATTCCAGTTTCTACCCTGACACCTTAAACCAAACTGGGTCACTTTATGACAAACTAAGAGCAAAACAAATAAGCAAAAATCTGCTCTGAAAAGAGGGGTTATACTTTGGTTACACTAAATATTATTGTCTCATTGGTTCAGCATTAACCAACCTCTAATATGATCAATCATGGTCAAAGCTGGGCTGACAAGCTGTTGTGTTTTAAATCTAAGTCAAGACTTGTTTCCTATGCCGTCATGGTTATCCTATAAGGTCAAGATAACATGAATAAGCTAAAATAACATAATTCATGTGGCAGAAGTGCACCTCCTTACAGAGATTTGACTTTATTTTAGTGTTAGCAGGGATGCTTATTAAGGTACACATGAAGATACTAAAAAGAGTTCTCTTAAAACTTTAGAATTGACTTTAGAAATTTCCCCTTGTATTGTTATTATATTTCAGTTTTCAGAAAGCCAATAGATATCCTGTGACCTGGGCCATCTTTTCTGAGGGATTATATCCAGAATTCCTATAAGATGATGCTTCTGCAGAGGATGGGAGGAGCTGGTTTTGAGTTATTTCTCATTCCTTTTGATATTCTGTGCCTTCTAAAAATTTGTTCTGAAGGGAATGCCCCTTCAGAAAAGCTGGAGAGAATGTAATGATAATTACCTTGTAAGCATTTTGGTCAATTATTTTCAAGTGAGCTGTTACTGTTACTTGCATGCCCTTTTTTACCCATATTAAATAGCTTAAAAACCTTATTTTGTTGACCCCAAATGAGTAGTTTACTTCAGGATTTAATTTGATCATTAACTTCTTGAAATGTTTACAAGACAGATTTATACAGAATTTTAAAAATATTTAAAAGGAAATAGATCATTTTGTTTTGTTTGTTTGTAGGTCAGTGGCATTTTACCATGTATTCTTGATGGTGATTGTTTCATTAGATCCAATGATCCATCTCCAGACATTGGACTATTGTTTGAACTTGGAATCACTTACCACAATGTAAGTTCACAGAGATGACTCAGTGTATGAAACTGTATTAGCAGACTTGGGTGGAGAAGCAAAAGGATTAGCAAGAGAAGCGTTTGGCATGATAATCCATAGGAATGAAACAAGTAGATTTCAATATATTTAAAAAAAACAAAACACTTCTTTTGGAGCTGGCATATTTTAATATGTATTTGTCATTTTTTTCATGGAATGGTCAACCAGTTTGTTTCTTGGGCGCTTTGTCTTGAGATTAATCATCTTAAACAGTGCTTTTAGCAGAATAATAAAAAATGATACAAATAAGAGTAAAAAAAGTCTAGCTGTGTAAACAAAAATTAAGTGATGATAGTGACCATCAAGATACCCTCGTTACCTCCTTTGTTCTTGTTGATAGTAAAATATCAAATACTGTTTATAGTGTTTTGTGAAACTCCCTCTACCTGATACTTTGTTCTTTCTAGAATGACTAGTCACTTGGGGTTGCAGTGAGGTTACAAATATTGTAGGTTTGTGTTAAGCATCACAACCTGCATTCCGTATTGGTTTGCTTCACAAAACTCACTATGCTAAAACCAAACAAACCACTTTGTGGCACAGTGTGATGAATGAATAGTCTGTCTGAATACCTTCTTAACAGTAATAGCCAGTAGTCTCCTGAGTAGTTTTTCGCTTTGGTCATGATTTGTTTGCATGGTTAATGGTATTGAATAACAGGCTGGCATTGGTATGTAAGACGAGAGAAAAGAAAGCCTGTCATTGATTTCTACAAACTTTCTATTTAGGGAGATTGTGAATCTAATATTCAGGGCGAGCATATTTTATACCTTTGGGGGGCAAAAGATGAGGAAATTGCATTTCTACTTTTAATGGGGTAATTGGAAATATTTTAAGGGCTGCAAAATGGGGTTGGGAGTTGTCGCCATAAACAAATATACAGCAAGTGTTGCAGATCTAAGATTGAATTGTGTCTAATTAAGTTACCTTCTAACTTCTTTTCTAGTCAACAGGTGAGAGTGGAGAATTAAGCTGTGGTTGGGCATTTCTAAAACTTTTTGATTCAAGTGGCTTTCCAGTTCCTTTCAAGTAAGTTTTCTTTGTGATGAGTGGAAAAAGGTAGAGCCATAACAAGAAGACAATTCAGTTGATAAATGTTGTTGGATTTCCTTTTGGTAGTCCTGTGACAGATATGAAAAAAATTCGCATCAGTTAACCCAGAAATTCCAGTATTCAGAACGTCAAATATTACAAGTATAAATCACATGTTTATTGCTCATAGGTTGGAGGAACTGAATTGTGCTTTATTTAGGTGCCCTGGAACCTTCTAACTAATATTATACATGGGGAGATTTTTGCCCAAGAATGAAGAAAATCCTCAATTGTTTCCTGCTATTAGACACTGAAATATGTGCAGATATGCATTTTTCTTTTACAGAGATCAATGCAACAAATCCAATTGATGAGCAGCAAAAACCTTGAGTGTACAAAATACATATTGATTTGAAGATCTGTGGCCATGATGCAGTAGACATTATGACAGGCTTGATAACTGTATACCCACTTCATATTGGATGGGTTGTTACTTGAAATTAGATTTCCACTATATATTTCTTGTTAAAGAAAGCAGATAGATTTTGGGAGGTGTGCTAAGGTTTGAACCTGACTAAAAGGGGCAGGATAAGGGAAAAGTTTAGTAAAAATTGAACAGAACTTTCAGTTAGAGGTACAGATAATCCTTGCTTAATGACCATTTGTTCAGTGATCATTTAATGTTACAATGGTACTGAACAAATGGCAGGTATGACCAGTTATTATGACCAGAAGTAATGGTTGTTGCTTTGCTCTATGTTCATGTGATCAAAATTTGGGTGCTTGGCAGTCTATCCACATTTATGACAGAATGTGCTTCAATGTGTGGTTCAACTCCCCCTATCTCTCCCCCACCCCCATTTCTGCCTTTCAGCTGCCTTGCAGACTACTTCCCCTGTCGCCCCTAGTGGTTTTATCTCTTAGCAAGCTGATCCTTGTAGATTAAGAACAGATCTAGGGCAGCCAGTTCCCTTATTTCTGTTTCAGCCTTTTGGGAAACGAAGTGAATAAGACGACAGAGGAATTTTGATTGAGGTGATTTTTCAGCAAATATGTAGGTATTAGCCTTTTATGATAGACCAAGTCAGGAAACATTTGCCACCAAAAAATAATAGAATTCTATTGATATGAGTTATAATAAAAGATTATTCAAACCTGACAGCATTTTTCATTTCCCCCCTCTTATACCAAAGAAAAGTAAAGTTGGGTAATCTTGAGTTTCTCTCTCATGTTTTCCTGTTTTCCTGGTCTAAGTTCATGTTTCCTTATAATTGCTGCTTATACTGTTGAAAGCTATTTCCATACTTCTCTATACTAGATAGTTGAAGTTTCCCATTATTACTGTGTCTCTCCTGGTAGAGACATCTATAATCTAGTCCAGAAAGACATCATTCAGACTTTTTTTGGCATGACTCTAGTGCACTCTGTCTTGACACAAAATCAGGACAACAGATAAGTGATTCAATCCATTGTGTTGCCATCTGTCATTTCCTCTTGTTTAGTGCAGAATAGGAATCCATTTCTGGCAGAGCTTTCTCAGTAATTTCCTGTAGACTTCGCTGCTTATAGCAGCTGCTGTTCACCCAGAGTTCTAGAATCATCAGCAATGGGAAGTCTCTGACTTCTGTTCTGAAGGTCCACAGAAAAGTCCTACTTGGCAACTTGGTGCTTTGTGTTATGTTCCTCCATTCCCTCTCCCCGCCCCCCTTTACCTTTTCTGTCTCCTGTGTAATTTCTTGGTAGTATTGCCCTTGTTCATATTCCTTTGCAGCTTGAGACCAGTTCCCTCCATCTTTATCTTCTTCTTTGACCTTTTCCACTGAACTCTTAACCAAGTTCTATTTGCTCTTCTTTGTCACTCACTCAGTTGTTTTATATATACAATTTTCGTCTGCCAAGAGGTATGAAGATGACTGATACATCAGAATGCAGTCCTATGTTTTCTTCTGACAAACCTCATTAAACCAGCTTCACTCAAATTGATCTAGTATTCTTTTACATTCAATATAATTAAAGCATACATTCACACACCCCAAAACTGACTAATTCTTCTTCATTATTTCCTTTTCCCACCCAAATATGATGATGGTTTCTGCATTCCATGAACTCAGTCCAGGGAAATTGCCATACCAGAGATCCCTGAGCTAGGCTTGGCTATTGCAGCAAAAGACATTCTTTCTAAGCATGTGTTGCATGGTCTGGTTTTAATAATGTCATGTGATAGGCCTGCAGCCCTTTAATAGTTTCTAAGGGTGTTAATTTTGCTAATCTTGCTTGAAAGATGTTAAAATAATACGGTTTGAGAACATGCCAGATGGAAATAGATAATAATTTCTTTATTTTTAGAGTTTCCTGTATTTTTGTTTTATACCTAATTTTTAATATTATTGGCTGCAGTCATAACTTTGTATTAAGCAATGTTTTTTTGATATACAGGAACAATCTGTCTTATCAATTATTCTAATAAGGGAGGTCTGCCTTGAAGTCTGTAAACCTGGTTTGTTAATTTTGATTACATTCTTCAGTGTAGACACCTCTAAGTTATATTCTTATGCAATAGAGATTACATTTTCCCATTTCTGGGAAAGGAAATTCTGTGTTCTATGATCCTGCTTCCAGAAAGCACACAATAGAAGTTATATATTTTGATTATAGTGCATGGTGTGAAAAAGCCTAGATTACAATAAAACATTTTAGATTATTTTATTTTTATACATTTAGTTGGTATGGGCTTCTCTGAAAAAAAAACCAGTATGCTGATAAATGTAATATTTATTGTATTCCATATTGATAGTTTCTAGGACAGGTGTCTCCAACCTTGGCAACTTTAAGACTTGTGGACTTCAACTCCCAGAGTTCCTCCGCCAGCAAAGCTGGGAGTTGAAGTCCACAAATTGGGAGTTGAAGTCCACAAGTCTTAAAGTTGCCAAGGTTGGAGATCCCTGTTCTAGGAAAATGAGATTGTCGTTTTCATTTAGAGTTTAAAAGTAATGTTTGCCATATGGTTGAGAAAGAACTAAAGTCTTGCCCAGGGGTGTCAAACTGGTGACCCACAGACCAGATGCATCATGCACAGGCCATGCCCATCCCAGTTCCGTGAAGGGGAAAAATGTCATGATATGCCACGTGACAGCAAATGATGCTGCAAATTCGACACCCGTGTCCTAGTCCAATATAAACCCAGGATTCTGCCTGTGGATTCTGGATGCCCAACACCTATGACATCAATGAATTTTCCTTGCTCCAGATCATGTGCTTCCTAGAAAAGCACTGCTGTATAAGTGTGTATTGTTTTATATACCACTGAGCCATGGTGATGCAGCGGTTAGAATGCAGTATTGCAGACTAACTCTTCCCACTGCCAGGAGTTCGAGCCTGACTGGCCCAAGGTTGACTCAGCCTTCCATCCTTCCAAGGTTGATAAAATGAGAAACCAGGTTGTTAGGTGTAATATGCTTTATTTCTGGATTTTCTATAATTTGGAAATATTTTTCTCTTTTTTTATCTGCCAGTTTTAATAATGTCATTTTTCTTATGCTCCTGGATAAGGTGTCATTATATTAACAAGAAGCCTAAAACCAGAATAATAGTTATTACAGCTGTAAAGAGCTTTTTTGTGAGGAGGAAACTTCTTTTTGGGATTGGCTTAAATTTAGTGCTACCATATTTCCAGTGACATCATGTTTGTGTGTGCAATAAAAGTGACCATTTTTTAAAATTTTCTACTTGCTCATAACTTAAACATAAAGTTCTAACTACCACCTAGCAGAAAGTGATTAGTTGAAGGTGAAGTTAACAAACAAATTTCAGTTTGTGGCTCCTCTTAAATCCAGAAATAGGCTTTGAGAATACTAGAAAATGATTTCATTGCCATTTACCACCACGTTTGGAGCACTGATATAACAGGATTTTTTAAAGCTGACATAATTCACAGTCACCATTATTAGATTGGCATTTATATATTATATGTATCCATGTTTAATTTATTTTAAATAATTACTTTAAAAATTATTTAAGAAGATTTTTAAACTTAAAATCAGTTTATACAATTTATCAAAAAATAGGATGAAATAGAATAAAAATGGATAATTCACTACTGAGGTCAATTGATTACTTAGCACAATTTTTCCTGAATTAGGAAGCTAATAAAAGAAGATCTTTCTTCTTTTATACTCTATTTATAAAATATAAGCTACAGGTTTCCCTTATCACAATCAACCTGATCTTTTCATACCTAGTTTTTTAATCCAGGGATGTTTTATAAAAAAAGAAGATAATAAGATTAGTTATTTTGGTACAAATAGCACATAAATAAATAGACTAGACTAGAATTAAAAAACAGAAGTAAATTCAGTTCAAAAGAGCTTTGCCTTAAATGTCACTCATAAATCACCAAGGGTCTGTATATGTCATCAGATATACCTTTCAAGATTCAACTGGTGATTCAGGGCATGATTTGGAGAACTGTATAGGTATTGCATGCCAAGTAGAAATGTCAGTGTAAAAATTACTTTTGGAAATGAAAACATGGCTTAAATCCACCTTTTTGAGTGTGAATGTGACAGGCTTTAAAAATGAAATATTACACTAGATTTGGGTATAGCCTTTCCTAAACAGAGAAGATAGTGGGATGTAGAAGCATGGGAGATTTCCGAAAATCAGATAGCTTTTGTGAGTGACAGCACTACCTAGATTTTAGGAATCTCCTTTTTCTCCTAGCCTCAAGGAAGCTCTGGTCTGCCAGGGGAAGGATGCAATAAGGATATTGTTTAATTCTGTGCGTGATTATCAGGAAGATAATAATATATGGATACATACAAGAGATTTTAAAAATTAAAAATCTTTGATATGGTTACGGTAATTATGTTTATGGAATCTTCAGGTATATGCCAACATAATTTATTAAATCTTCCTAGTGCAAGAAAAAAAAACAGTATTTTTTCCTATAATTTCAATCCTGCGCTAATTCAGAAGAAATGTAAGTTATAGAAGAATTACTTAATATTTCCCTATATCATATATACTTATTTAAATGTTTTGCAGAACATACGAGCTGTTTTTGAATGGTGGGACTCCATATGAAAAAAGGGTAAAAGTGGACCCATCAATTTCAAGGAGAGGTATAATTTATTTTATAACAAAATAAAAAAGCAAATGAAAGGTCTCAGTTTACACAGTCAGAAATCCTATTGTGTTTTATTGTGACCTTTGGAAACATTAAATGTGGCAGTAAGCATGGATTAAATGGGAATTGGAAGCCAAACTCTCTGCCAGTTGTACATAACTTAACAGCAAGAAATATTGGTGATTAAAAAAAGAAAATTATTATTGAAATGAATAGAACCATTTGTAAAGAGTAGATGAAAATGCAAAGTTATGTCAAGCAGCAAAAACTATGAAGAAAATACTGATTTAAAGTCATTTCTTGAAAGAAGAGAATTGCAGTATATGTTTTTGAGGGTATTCTATCAATAGAGATAAAATGAGCTGAAACACATGACTAGAATAATTTAAAAACAAAACAAGCCTGAAGATAATGAAATCAGAATGAAATATGTTACTAGGTTGAGAAATTGCTGAAAACAGAGAAAAAAACCAATTTATGAGGATTCTTATGTCAGTATGTTTGACTGTACATATTATTTCTTTTCCTAAAGCCAGCAGCAATGTTTTTCAACATATGATAACACTGAGGAAGCAGCCACAACTTCTAGTGAAACTGAGGTCTATTAGCACAAGATCGAAAGGCATCCTGAAGTAAGTGAGCACTAGTTATTTTGTGGCTTTATTGTGCAAATAGATACCTATGTTACAGGGGTAGGATTCAAATTTTTTAACAACCGTTTCTGTGGACGTGGCTTAGGTGGTAGGCGTGGCTTGGTGGTCATGTGACTGGGTGGACATGGGTTAGTGGTCATGTTATTGGCTGGGTGTGGCCAACTCAATATCACTCACATCGAGGCACACATCTCCTCGCCTGGCCTCTCATGACTGGGGATGCTGCAACAGTCGTAAGTGTGAAAAACGGTCATGAGTCACTTTTTTCAGTGCCATTGTAACTTTGAATGGTCACTCCACACAAGCAAAGTACCAGCAAAGGAAGGGAAAAAAACTCCAGAGACGTTCCTGAGACAGGAAGTCTAGTCCTGCCAAGAATGTAATAAGGGTTAATGGAGAGGCAGTTTCTGTAAGTAACACCAGAATGTTTCCCTCTTGCCTTCCTTACAGGATTAGGCCAGTAATTTCTTCTAACAACCAGTTCTCCAAACTGCTTAGAATGTTAACAACCGGTTCTACCGAATAGGTGCGAACTGGTAGAATCCCACCCCTGCTATGTTATGCCTACAATATCACACCTTCAAAATCAGTTTTCAGATTATTTTCAGATCATGTTGAAAGTCTCATAATTTTGAAGTAAAGCTCTACAATGAATGTAATTGTCTCTATTATTACATATAAAATACTAAATGTTTTTTGTTTTCAAATGTCAACTGTCTCAAAGTTACTAAATGTACAAAAGCAATTAAAATGTATAAATTAAACAATTAAAATATTCAAAAGTGATTCATGAGTGTAGTATCAGTCTCTGTTTCTTAAAGTAGCCTGTTTATTTTTTAAGTTTCTGCTAACTCTGAAAATGGTGCTGTTGTTTTAATAGTTGTATTAACTTTTAGGAGTGGGGAATATCTTACAGCAGTATCAGCTATTCATGTTCCTGTAATGAATAACAGAAGAGTGTTATGTTTTGACTAAGTGTAAAATATTTCTTCCAAATTTCTTCCAAAGTGTGTACAGCCCTAATAAATGGTGCTATCAAACAATAGTGGAAAATGAATGAAGTATCTCAAACTGTGAACCAGAAGAAAATACAGAAAGTTTCCCTGATAAAATTAGGCCAAATTAGTATAATGCAGAAAAGAAAATATTTAATTAATCAATTTAATTGAATAATTAAAACATTTTAATAAAATGTGTCCTTAGTAAATAAGTTTGCATATTTAAATTTTTAAGCAAATATGTACAGTACAAGAACAAAATGCCTTTCTTAGATTAGATGATATGTGTTGCTTTGAGGGAGATGACTGGTCTCTAAATATGTTAAATAAAATAAAATATGGAAATCTAATTCCTTTTAATAAACAATACTAGCCTGATGAGATTTAATGACAGTTTTTCTCATGCACAAGAAATTAAACATCTTGAAAGAAATTTTAATGTTACTTAACTTATTGGGAGCAGAATGCTTATATTTTTTGAAAGGTAGTCTAGAAAAAGGTGTTATACTATAATTAGATCTTGATTAATAGAACTGCTTTGGAATTGTCTAAATTAAAAGGGCTTTTTAAAAGTTGAATTTTTTTGTTTTTATGTTTAATGTTTAATGCCAAAATTACTAAATGATTGTCAGAGCAATAATTCAGATCTGGTCAGAAAAATTGTTTATATTATGATATGCCCAAATGTCATTTGAGATTATGCCGGAAATGAATGTTGCATTTTCTTTTCATTTTTTGAACCAGCCTATTACCAGAAGTATTAATTGGCAGCATGTGCTATATGCATCTCATATTGTTTTATCGTCAGATCCTTGGTGATGTACTCCTGAAAGACAGACCAAATGTGCAACATGCAGGTAAGAGTTGGAGCTTTGAACAGGAGAAAATGCAGGAAATACTTTCAGTACTCGGGCTTGGATTGGACATGCATCCAAGTTAGAAAGATGTCCCATATTTTATAGTCTCATAAAACATGTTTCTTTTGCTTTCAGTTGGTTAGGGTCATTTATTTTTAATGTTGTAACACAAAGTTGTAACAGTAACTCAGCTAGGCATTTACAAAATATATTGTGTTTGTTAAAAACTGTTTGGTTTTATGCATAATACAGATTGTGCCTTGGAGCTTTGACTGGATTGCTTGTAGTGGGTCTTGGCCTCTGGCTGAACTCAACCCCAGAACTTTTAAATTGTTCTGAGTTTCCTTTGAAAAATGCCAGGGTGGAGTATCTTATGGGTGAATGTTGAGTCTCATTTCTTTTTCCACTTTTTCCTCTGCATGATCTGTGCAGCAACTCACCTGCTTGATCTGCCCAGTGCCTTGCCACTCTGCTAAAATTCAAGCACAACATACCTGGCTGGCCTCTCCATCCCATCTCACTCTTCTCAGTATCTTTGTTCCTTGTAGCTGCTATGGATGTCATTGCCTTTTCCCCAGTGTCTCCCATCCCAGAGTACATTTTTTTCTAAAAGATGAATGTTTTGAGTCTGTGCTGAAACCAAACATGTATTTCAAGTCGGTGCCTGGACCAAATACGCACCTTGCAGTCTGGATGATGACCACCTAGTAATTACGATGTTCTGTCTGGAAATCCTTTTTCTTTCTTTCTTTTATGTTTGAAATACATTTTTGGTATGATAATGATAAAATAAAATGAAATGAATTTATATTTCATCAACTTTTTTTTTATAAAATGGACCTGTTAAAGTAAGTGTAGTTAGAAATACTGAGACAAAAAATAAAATAAAATAAAATACCCGCCCTTCTTCTAAACTGTATAGCTTGTCTTTCTTGCCCATGGATTCAGCATTTATTACGCAATGTGCCATTTTTGGCAGGGGAGGGATTTGTTTTTGCAGTTTGAGAGTTTCTTATGATTCTATAGCAACTCTTTTCTTTCATCTATTTTATCACAGAACTACAAGTATGAAATAATGCATATGTCAGTACTGTCCTTATTTTACCAGTTGCTGTTATTTTGGTGAACGAACTCGGGTTATATTGCAATAAAGTCAACTATAATGTACCACCAATTCTTTACATAGGGTCAGCACTTGGACAATGGGTTCTTTTGCTTAATGGGAGGATGGGATGTACTAACTAACCTTGTGAGGAAGAAAAGCTGTGACAGCTACTGCATTTTACAGCTAATTCTGTACAATTAATTAAATCACGAATAGGTAGAGATTTCATCCCATGTTTGATTGCCTTTTGTTTTTGCGTAGAGTAATTGTAATAAATGGCTTGTGTCCATTTGTTCAGCAACTGTTCAGAGTTATGGTGTCACTGAAAAAATGGACATACAATTGGTCCCTGAAGTTCAAGCTCTCATAGCACTCTTGTGGTCATCTATGCAGATGTTTGGATGTCCATTTTACAATTGCAGTGTTGCAAGTGGCTACAGTTAAATGATTGCTATTTGTAAGGTTCCCATAAGCAAAGTCAATGGGGAAGCTAAGTAGGGAAGGTTACAAATTGCTCTGGTTAGTCGTTCCCCCTTATAGCACATCTCTCCACCTGTATGCAGCCACTGCTGACCCACCCAGGCCCTCCCTGGTCTCCTTCAGTTCATGTACAGCCTGTGCTGGGGTTGAAGGACTGCTTATAGTTTTATTTAAATTGCTTTTGTCATACATTCTGTAAAATGTCATTGAAGCAGCCATATGAATAGGTTATATGTTTTGGTTCCCCCTGCAGATTTGATCAGCAATCCAATTTTGTCAACTTTTCCTAAACTCATGGAACAGCCTGATATTATGGATGCGCTCAGGGTGGGTAAAATGTATTGCATTGCTAAATCTGAAAATAGAATTCAGATTAAATGTATCATTCAACATGACAGCTTTCAGTTCCTTTACATGTTCTATCAACAATTCTTTTGAGACACTACTCCTATGGTGTTAAATTTCAAGAAATATTATAGAAGTAAAGTATATAGACGTTGAAGGAAAATGCCCCAAGACTTTAGGAAGGTTGGCTTAAGAGGGGCTGGAATTTAGCGATAGGGTATGGCTTGTTCAAATGAAAGCTCTGAAACTTTTTAAATTTTGAATTCTTCATTATAGCAGGAATGATTTCTGATAACTTCTCCAATGATATAAATTGAATATAAATATTGTTTCCAGTGAGAAAAACCTGAAAAATATGCATGTGCCTAGCTAAAGTAAGGAGAGGAGATTAAGAGGGTGTATTTTTATAGCGCTCAAATATTGGAAAGAGTGAACTAGATGTGAAAACAATAATTTAATTATTTATATACTGCCCAATTCTCAGTGATCCAATTAGATTTTTAAATGTTTTGCTTATTAATGAAAAAATGTAGCCTAGGAAGATTACCACTAAAATAAGAAATTGATTTTTTTTAAAAAATTTTTTGAAGAGTACTGTAATGCAGTTTTTCAGAAGAGATAGAGGAACTGGTAGAAATACTTTCTACTTGGATATAACAGAAGTAGGTAACAGATATTTCCCATTGATGGAATTTTGTTGACAAGATCTAACTCTATTTTTTTAAAGGAAAATATCAGTGGATTATAATTCAAAATACAGTTTTGAATTATATTTTGAGGAACTATACTCACCTCATATCTGTTATAGTAAATCAGAAACTAGGGCCTTTTCTTTCTTTGAGCTTTTCAGAAGGTTTTGAAATAGCATGTTCCTTTCAGGATTTCAAACTCCTGTGATAACCCCCAATTTTCTGTCAGTTTAATGCAAAAAACAACAAACCACAAAAAAATTACATATCCACAGTCCTAATTCATCTGTACTAATAAACAAACACTGAGAATTTGACAACTGTCTATAAAGTTTTGAACATTATTATTTTTAGAGTTCCTGGGCAGAGAAAGAGAGTACATTGAAGAGATCAGAAAAGGTAAACTTTTTCAATAGGAAGACAATACTTTAAAGATATAATGAAATTGTGATCCTATGTCTCATTGTGCAGAAAACTTTCAAATGAAGAAGACTACAGCTTCAGTCCCGTCTTGTGCTCATTCAGGGAACCCATACCCCACAGCTTCTTGATAGGAAGAGTCCTGCACAGAGGTGATATTCAGCAGGTTCTGACCAGTTCTGGAGAACCGGTAGCGGAAATTTTGAGTAGTTTGAAGAACTGGCAAATACCACCTCTGACTGGCCCTGCCCCCATCTATTCTCTGCCTCCCGAGTCCCAGCTGATCGGCTGGGTCTCCTTTTGTTGCCCTGCACAGGAGAACGGAGTTGGAAAGCAGGTCAGTGGGATGGGGAGGGAATGGGGATTTTGCAGTATCCTTCCCTTGTCACGCCCACCAAGCCATGCCCACCAAGCCCTGCCACGCCCACCAAGCCATGCCTACAGAGCCATTAGTATTTTTTTTTTGAATCCACCCACTGGTCCTGCCGAAATTGCATTATGTTGAAGGGTTTTTCCAGAAGTCTCTAGTGTCTTGTCCAGCAAATCTTTTTGTTTAAGTAGCTTTGACTTTAACTGGATGTAAGGATCTTTTCAGCAGTATGTTGCAGCATAGGTCTAAATTATTTTCAGTGATCACGTGAGCCAAAAAGTTAGTTTGGCCATCTCATTCAGCTGTTTTTATTGTAAACTGATTAGAGTAGAATCTATTCTAATATTGTAACCTGTGATGATGGCATTGCTGTTAATTTTTACACTGTGTTTTTAAATTTCTCAGTTTCTTTATCTCTTTTTCCTTTTCTACATTTTTTTTTGTTTTCTCTCCTTTAAAGTGAAGTATAACTACAGTACAAGGTATGAAAAGAAAAAAGTTGCTTACTTTAGGGAGGAACATAGTGGGACCTGACCAAGAAGTTGAAGCTCAAGTTATACCTTTCTTTTTTCCAGCTGTCTTGGTAATAGGGCAAGGCAAGATTGAATACTTAATTGTCTATAATTAAGTATATGAATAAGAAAAACTTCAGCTGATTTATAAGGGTATCTACTGCTATAGTTTTACTTCAGTTAAAGTTAGAGCAGAATATTACTCTGTGTGATAGGAATCATTAAAAATAAAGATAAGACTCGTGTGTCCACTTTGGGTTAGGGCTGTCCTGCTCCTTCCACTTCTTTTTCCCCCCATTATTTCTTATTTTTGAATTTGAAATTTGATGTAACATTTTGAAAGAATTGAAGTAGGAAGAATATAAATAAGAAAAATATTGAGCATGTGAAAAACAGGAAATAAAATACGGATTCCTGTTGGACTTTGAATTGAACATGTTTGGTTAGCACAGTATTAATAACTGACAAATTATAAACAGTAACAGTACATTAGATCAACACTGAAAGTTATAAATCAGAATAATATATAATTCTATAGATAAGAAAACCCACATTTCATATGTGCGACAGATCCAAATGTATCATAATCCAAGAATCATTTCCAATTAGAATTAAATTCCGCATCAGATTGACTTTTTATGTAAGAAGCTACTCTGGACATCAAAGCAAACTTCCACAATTTAATTAGCCCTTCTTCTGAAGAGTAAGTCAAAGGTAGTTTGCAATAAAAAGCATATAAAATTATTTCAGTTATTAGCATATACAATACTAATTCCATGTATTTTAAAGGTTTAGTGAAATACTGTATAATAACATCTCAGGCTACAATGGAATTACGACGTTCTCTTAATTGTTCTTTATAATTGTGATTTTCCATATTGTTCAGCTTTACAACACTGCAATAACATATAAAAAAGGATCTTGGGTACACTTCCAGCATTTTCTAGAAAAGTAATTTCAGATAGTCCTTGACTTAAAGACCATTTATTTAAACACTTCTCAAAGTTACTAAAAAGTGTAAAAGTGATTTAGGACTGTTGCACAATCCTTGCAGTCATGAGATTGTAATTCGGGTGCTTGGCATTTATGACTAATTGCAACTTCCTGTGGCCCCATGGGTGCAATTTGTGATCTTCCCAGCCAGTTTACAACAAACATCATCCATTGGGAAAGCCAAATTTGCTTAACAACTGTGTGATTTCTTTAATGACTGCAATAAAAATGGGTCTTAACTCAGGTTTGGTCACATGCTGATTCTCTTAACAACCGCCTCTCTTAGTGACTAAAATTCTGGTCCCAGTTGTGGTCATAAGTCAAGGATTATTTGCATTCATTTTAACAATCAAGAGTTGAATAATATCCAACAGTAGAATGTACCAATTGTAAGTATAATGTTCCAAGTAAATTTAGTATTCTCCTTCTATTGAATTTCCCACTGTTGTATCTCTGTTACAGTGTTCAAGTTTTGCATCCATTTATCATATTGCCCTTAATTTGATCAGATTTGGAATTGTGGGGTTTTTGTTATTGTGAGACACCAGAGTTGTATTCTAAGATATACAAATCTTTTAAATAAATAGCAAAGTGGAGTTCAAATCCTTCAGCAGGCTGTCCTTTCTTCTAAAGAGATTGCTTAATGACTGCGATTCGGAATGCTAGGATTGCTGTTGTTGAGCAAAGCAATCATGATGGAGTCTTGCTTAACAGTTGCTGCACTCAATGACCAAGATTTCAGTCTTGGTTGTGATAATTAAGCAAGGACTATCTGTAAAAACTTTTCATCTAAACAGATTATTGTCTTTCAGTTTAACATATTCCTTAGTATATTCAGCTTCATGAAAATAAATATTTAATAATGGCACAAGAAGGGGAAAGCCTGGACTTACTCTTTTGCTGTGTCTATCTCAAATATTCAGTAGATTACTTAACATTGCATATCCAATTATATAATTTTTATTCTGTTGGTATTCATTCAGCCCCTTTGAAAGACTTGCCCTTCTATAAGGGTTATAGAACTACCATATTTTTTGGACTATAAGATGCGCCGAAGTACAAGACGCACTTAGCTTTCGGGGAGGAACCAAGAAAAAAAATCTGCCTCTGCCTCCCAACAATTTGCCTCCTTACAGCAAACAGCCTGGTCAGCTTCAGCACAGCCTGATTAGCACAAGCAGCGATTGTCGGTTGGATTGGCTTCCCGATGATCAGCTGTTTCAGGCTGCAGGGGTCACCATCACCCTATTGCCGCCTCCGCGTGCCCCATTTTCAGCCTCTGCATCCCGTTTTTGGCCCGTTCCAGGCAGCAGGGATTGGAACAGGCCAAAAATGGGGCGCACGGAGGCCAAAAACTTGTGCTAATCAGGCTGTGCTGAAGCTGACCAGGCTGTTTGTTGTTTGCTACAAGGAAGCAAATTGCTGGGAGGCAGAAGCCAAAGGGTAGGAAGGGCTTCGGCAACATTTGCTGTATAAGATGCACAGACATTTCTACCCACTTTTTTGGAGGGAGGAAGTGCATCTCATACACCAAAAAATACAGTATATAAGACATGATCTGTTCTGAAATTCATATTAAATAGCTGTCATGATAATATCTGAAATTTGGGTTTGCAACTCCACCTTGTTCTCCTAAGTCCTAATGGTTCTTAGTGTTATGTCAGGCCATATATAATTCATGTCTATTCCAGTTATTTATTAACTTATTTTCAATGACAATTGAAATCATTTGAAAAAGGAAGTAACATTTTGATGGAATATTCATTTAGTGGCTGTAGTCCTTTCTAACTGGAATAATTTTAGTTTCTTCCTTCCAAGAATATTAATTATATTTTTGCCAGTTGGCAAATAATTATTCTTGACTAAATCTTCATTGTTTCTTGTCAAGAAAATCCCTTAAAGTTTTTATCAGTGTTAAATCTGGTTATTTGTCATGTACATTGTTTTTCTTTTTTTGTCCAATTCCATATAAACAGTTGAGTTTTCTTTTTATTGATCCAATAACCTGACACAAAACGTATTGTTTAAAACATCAGCAATGTTAAAGTGTTTCTATGCTGAGCAATTGTAAGAACAATATCAACAGTGTGTGTTTTTGTGTAATTAGTTTAATTCGCAATATTCTATTATCTTGGTAAGCTGAATTACCAGTGGTTCTAATACAAGTGAAAATGAAGGAAGAGAAAACTCTTGTCTTATTGTAATCTAATTTACCACAGCTTTGACTTTAATTCTTTGAGGCTCAGCTTCTTTACCATTCATATTTCAGAAACTGGGTAATTAAGGATAATTTATCTTTCCTTTGTCATTTGTCAGAAGTAGTCAGTTTTTATAGATGTGAACTTGAAAAAAGTACAAGACCTGTTTCCAATTGATTTTCAAACATTTATGTAATATATAATATAAAAATGGGTAATTTCTAATGCAGTATCATCAGATAAAGAGTGATGACTTTAATGTAAAAAATATAAAGTTTTAGGATGCCATCTGGGAATAGTACATTTTAAATATTCTGCTTCCTCTTCTTTCTAATTAGAGAGACAGTGAATTTCTGAAATCAGTGTTTGTCCTGGTGTACCATGACACCGTCTATCCGCTTCTTCAGTCTGTGTCACTTCCAGAGTACAAGTGGGCAGAAGAAGAATCTGAAGGTACTCGCTGGCGAATAATAGCTGAATTCCTAAAGAAAAATCGAGAAAAAGGGGGCAGTCTACCTTCTCTACTATCATTGGAAAGCCCTCACAAAGCTTTCGATGTCATGGAAACTGCATATGACTTTTTAGGAGAGGCTAGAAAAAATAGTCCTCTAATATGAAAGACATTTGTGGTTATTCATCTACCAATTGCCAAACCAACACGAACTAATTAAATAGAACTGATAATGTGTTCCAAAATGTTGTATTTTTATCATTTGACTAAAACTTTTATACCAAATTTATAAATGCAATGTATTGATAAACTTTAAAAAAAACAACTATCATGTTGGTTATTGATTTGTATATTTATGAAGGAAGTAAATGCATACTAAAGATAATTTATTGTGTTTTTATCTTTTTTCATTCAAATGTTTTCCTATTTCCTTTATACTTCTTTACATTAAGCAAATTTCATTTGAGAAATGCTGGTATCTAAACAATTAACTAACACTGAATGTGAGACAAATAAGTAATGTCAGAAATTATAGTAAATCTTAAGAATCACTTTAAATAAGTATGAGAGTTGAATCTGTTACAGACATTGCTCTAAACCAGGGGTATCAAACTCATGTCATCATGGCGGCGTCACGTGACCTATTGGGACTTTTCTCCCCTCCTCGCTAAATCGGGTGTGGGCATGGCCAACGCATGATACACTTGGTCTGCAGGCTGCAAGTTTGACAGCCCTGCTCTAAACATATATGAACTGAACATGCCTTGATGTTTATAAATGGATTTAACTGAAGATGATGATGTTTAATCACTGGCAAAATCTGAAAAATGCAAGAGTGTAGCATTTTATTAATATTACCCTTTTGGAATGTTAAGAATAGATATAAAGGTATCTATTGTAAAAGAAATGCCAATTTATCCTAAAATTTGAATTATTTAGGTATGCATGCCAGATTCAGAGCTTTGTCAGATCCATATTGTGCTGCTATCCTGAATAATGAGCCAAAGGTAATTTGTTGCCATAGTTGCCAGCATGTGACTGAAAATTCTCTTGGGATTTGATCAAAAGATCTACAATTCCACAACTGATACAGATAGTTCTAAATTAGCGTCTGCCTCATATAGCCACCACTACAATAATAATGAAAAAGTAACTTTGTGGCCAATTCTTGTATTTATGACCTTTATATATACCGTATATGTAAAGCAAAGGAAAACTGAAGTAAGATAAGCACAGTTTCACATAGCGACTGCTTTAATGACCAATTTGCCATACCAATTATGGCTGTAAACAAGAACGACCTCTATTTCCGTTGCTTTTTGCTTGATAGGATGGAAGTAGACTTGACTGATATCTATGTTGCTAAGTTAGTACTTCAGTGGGGCTTATCAACATCTTTTGTTTTTTCAGTGTTGCCAGGCGTTTTATTATTCCAGAATGATAAGGAAAGATACTAGTGTAGCCTTTTGAGAATGGAATGAGACTGGTTTGCAGTATGGGCCACCTCAGAAAGTCTCCCACATGATGTGGAATTCAGCTTTACACAAATGGAAGTTCGTTGTGCATAGTGCTTCTTGTTTTTGCTTGACAGCTTAAACACATTTTTGAAAGCTGTGTCACAGAATTTGAAAGACCCGATGGAGTACACCGTGAAGCACATACTGATTGAAAGGTTTAGAGCAGCAATCCTCAACTTTTTGGCTGGGCAGCCCGGCCCCAGGTAGGGCGGGGGTGGGGGTGGGGAAGGGAATTTGTTCTGTTTGAGGGGCGGGGGTGAGCATGCCCAGCTCCATTTGTGCAAGTGATGCTGTGAGTGTAAGTGTCTGCCACTTGTGCAGCCCAGTTCTGAATGGGATGCGGCCTGGTAGTGGGCTGTGGCCTAGGGGTTGGGGACCCTTTGTGTAGAGGAGAGAGGGAGAAATCACTTCATTTTCATTACCTATAAACTACTTCTTTCAGAAACTCGCCTTTGGATTTTGCCCTGATCTCCAGGTACAGACCTCACTAAATTAAATGACAATTGCCTTTCTTAATTTGCATAATGATCCCGAGGCAGAAATATAGTTGTAGAGAAGAAACTGGTTCAACAAGACTAGCTAGAAGTACTCATATTTTTGGAGATGTTCCCAATCAATTAACAGCAAGACAATGGAATCAGTTCAACCAAACATGTCAGTGCTGCTCTTAAAATAGTTAGAAAGTAGGTTACTGTTAAATTTAATAGGCTTAAATTCCTTCCCTCAAACTACAAAGTTAAAATAGGTATATAATCAAACATACTTTAGGCTAAACACTTCACTGTATATTTATCTTCCTCTCAGAGCAGGAACATGTAGAAAATGAGCAGGTAGGTTTACAGTATTTCTTGGAGGTGCATGTTTTTCTCTCTCTATGGGTGTATCTATAGATGTTTATTGAAGGGAAGCATACTTTTTTAATGCATTAATGACAAACATCTATTCTGGGTGTATCTTTGTATATGGAAAATCAGTGGCTTGTAAACAGTTACATCAAAGTAGATTTATAGAGTGTTTACATCTGATGAGTATAAATGAAGGACACCTGCTCATTAATACAAGTGAGGTACTAATACTACTCTATAAAGCCTTAGTAAGACCACACCTAGAGTACTGCATCCAGTTTTGTTCACCACATTATAAAAAAGATGTTGAGACTCTAGAAAAAGTACAGAGAAGAGCAACCAGGATGATTAGGGGACTGGAGGCTAAAACATACAAAAAACGGTTGCAGGAACTGGGCTTGGCTAGTCTAGTAAAGAGAAGGACCAGGGGAGCAGTGTTCCAATATTTGAGGGGCTGCCACAGAGAAGAAGGGGTCAAGCTATTTTCTAAAGCGCCTGTAGACCGGACAAGGAATAATGGATGGAAACTGAACAAGGAGAGATTTAACCTGGAAATAAGGAGAAACTTTCTGACAGTGAGAACAATCAACCAATGGAACAGCTTGCCCTCGGAAGTTGTGGGAGCGCCATCACTTGAGACTTTCAAGAAGAGATTGGACTGCCATTTGTCAGAAATGGTGTAGGGTCTCCCGCTTGGGTGGGGGGTTGGACTAGATGACCTATAAGGTCCCTTCCAACTGATTATCTGTTAAATCTGTATTTCAAACATTTATACTATTCTCAAAAATACAGAAGAATGGTACCTGAACTAATGTGCTCCAGCCAATAAACCAAACCTCATAGCAATCCTCATTTAAAGAACATAAACCTTCATAATTAAAATGTTGAGAATAATTTAGTACACAGTTATTAGGCTTTTACTATGAACTATCCCAAGGAGAAAATGCTCAGAAAAATGAAAGAATGTGCTGAAACAAAATACCTTAAACTCTTTAACTTCTTGGCATGGGATTCAATTTCATTTGCATTGGCGTTAAAAACAAGCTTTTGATCAGCAACATGAGGACAGTAACTAGGGGTGAAAACAACCAAGTCTCTGTTACCAAAGTACTATGGCTCAGTAACCAGTTCAGTGATTATTTACCCACCTGTAGAAAGTTAGCACTCACCCCTCTCCTGAAGAATGAAATATTTTGAGAAAGATTAAAAAAGGCAGAATATTATATTTCCCTGGATGAGAAATGGAGAAACATGTTTTTTTTAAAGCGGCCCTCTTAATAACCCTCAGCAGATGTCAGCACTTAAGAGATAAAGAGCTTATTGAAGGAAGCCAAGTATCTAGATAGCTCAATTATTTATAGGCAAAAATTCCCTGCAGCAAGGTCTGAACAAAGGTAGGATTAGCCCACAGCCACAATAGGAATTGGGCCCAACGCCCCTTCATTGTATCAGCAGTCCAAACTTCAACCAAACCTGGGAGCTCAGACAACCTACTGAACCATCTTGTGACCCGTACAACAGCCAATAGAATACATGTTTTTGCACAGGAACAGGAAGTTCAAGTGCAAAACCCAAGAGAAGGTATTAATACCCCCCACTCTCAACTCCATGTGGTCAGTTACCTAGAATGCATCTGGTTCTACTTCATAATTAAACCATCTTTCCAATCAGCCTCCAGCCTCTATTTTGTCTCCAGTGCCTTTCTCCTGGCTTGGAACTGAACCAGATCAGAGGTGGTATTCAGTAGGTTCTTGTTCTGACCCAGGCTTTGTAAACCGTAATTATTCACAAACTTGTTTTAAAAAAAAAACTATTTTATTGTAACGCTGGAAATTGTTTTCATTCCCAGCCGGAATTAAGCTCAAACAGTCCCTCAAGATAAGCGCACACCTTTCAGTTCTGTGAAGTGCTGCCAAAACAGAAGTATCAAATTAATTAGAAAAAAAACACCAATCGAAGTACAAGAAAAACCAACCGAAGTACAGAGAGCTTCAAGGATGACTCGGAACCGATCGAACTACTTTGCTTCCTGCAAAGGTTTCATCATCTTGGACTTATTTTTATCCCTTATGGGAGGGGGCAATCGCCTCCCAGGCTTACTCCTAAGTCACCCCTTTTGTTTCAGCTGCTCTCACCTTCTAGCAGCTCTGTGCACATGCACACTGGGAACAGGCTCCTCTGAGTCCTCTGCCTTGCTGCTGCCAGACTCCGAAGGCAGTACCCCACTCCCAGTGGTCCTGGCCCCATCTCTGCATTGGACACAGGACCCTCGTTCGAGTCCTCTCCAGACTCCCTGACTGGTCCCTGTTCTTCCCAACTGTCTGATTCTGCTATTGTCTGCGCCGGCTGCTGGCAAACCACAACAGTTCTGACCAGTTCTGGAGAACCAGTAGCGGAAATTTTGAGTAGTTCAGAGAACTGGCAAATACCACCTCTAACTGGCCCCGCCCCCATCTATTCTCTGCCTCTTGAGTCCCAGCTGATCTGCTGGGTCTTCTTTTATTGCCCTGCACAGGAGGACGGAGCTGGAAAGCAGGTTAGTGGGTTGGGGAGGGAATGGGATTTTGCAGTAACCTTCCCCTGCCACGCCCACCAAACCACATCCACAGAACCGGTAGTAAAAAAATTTGAATCCCACCATTGAACTAGATGGATATTTCTTCCAAGACACCCTTTGGGAAAGATTGTACAAGTGAAATTGTATGTTTCATCATCCTTATATAATGCATTCCCACGCCCACTTGGTGGCATTTTCTTACTTTGCATTAGTTGAAGGATTGGCGAAAGATGCTGAAATGTAGTACAAATTAATTTCCCTGTTACTTCCGGTTCCCCGTTAAAAAGAAAGGCCATGTAAGAGCCAAAGACAAATTGCATTCTTTACAACAGTGAGTACATGAGTTCTAGGCTGGTGCTGACAATCAATTTCTGAAGCAGAGATGGTATTCAGCAGGTTCTGACCAGTTCTGGAGATCCAGTAGCAGATATTTTGAGTAGTTCAGA